AGGATGGGGGATGGTGGTGATGATGATAAGTGATATGACTATAATGATGTAGAAAATTATAAACTGAAAATACATAGCGCTTCCACTAACCTCAAAGTGACAACTAGCCTTTCCTCTGGCAATATTGGACCATGAAGATTACACCAGTTTTTCAATAGCCAGGATTCCTCTTTCAATTCACAGAAAAGGTGGTGGTATTCACAAAATTGTCGTCTTTCCCTATTTATTGGGTGTACATTATGTATTCCCGTATTCTTCACAGACCTCAACAATAACGAACTGTCCAGTAGCATAAATTCATCTTCGGACGACATCATTCGCAAGTCAATATAAAAATGTAGTTCATGTTTACCTCTGAGTCTCCGAGCCCGCTGAGAGACAGGTTCCAAGTCGTCTATTGGGCCTCTTGTCATACCACTTGCTGCGTGACAGGTAACCAGTCGCTTGTAGCGGGGAAACCTGCGACAGAATGCCTGCCGTATTACGCCGCGCCCTTAGGCTGCAAACGCACTGGCTTCACGTTCCCCACGTTTTCAACTTTCCGTTTTGGAGAGGGAAAGTTTGAGTTGATTACACTAACGTACTGACTTCACATTCCTTTCTCCCTCGTGATTAAAAAAACCCCAACCTACAACGAAACTTTAGTTTCTACTTTCCACTCTAGTTTCTTTAGCAAAGTCTACCCACTTCTTGTTGACGTGAGTTCTGTGTCTCAATAATATACTAGAGCTATAATATTATAGAGCCTACAAAAAGAAAGAAGTGAACAACCCAAAGAGTCAAAACATGTAGGTCGAGGTCAGCGTGTTTACAATAAAATTATTTTTAAAAACTAGATTCTAGCTGGGTACCCTGTTCGATGAACGGACTCAGAAAAATCGATCGTCAAGTCATTGTGAGTGCGGTGCACACTCCTTGTGAACGGAAGACTCACTTGTTTACAACTGAGTCTTAGAAGACAGACTTTCCCAAGATTAGATCTGAAGGAAACTAATGAAAAACTGAAAATTAAACTACAGTGACTTCAGACTTCCTAATATAAATGTGCACTCTTTAAATGACTCTGAACCACTGGTACTTTTTTTCAAATTCGAAAGTTAAGTGGTTGGGAATCTCAACTGTAGGCGCCCAACGAAGATTTGTTTATTTCCGGTGGAAGAGACATTCTTCTATCACTGAAAACGAAATGTTATGTCTTGAACGCTGCATTGAAACTCATGAATTGACAACATGAAAATCGTGAACGGCCGATAGCGGTTTTTTGGTTTTTTTTTAAAAAGACGAATGCAAGCACTTACTGAATTGATAGAACCTTAGCTTGATGTCTATGAACTTTCTTCAATAATATTTTCATGGTTCTATGTTCCTTTGTTTTTTCAGCTATAGAAAACACCATCCACATGTACTCAAATGTATAAATATAGATTGTCTATATTGCCAATATGGGCATAACGGTTAAAATCTCATGCGCTATTAGGTAATTAATTTCGCAGAATCCAAATCTGGTGTCAGAAATACAATTTAATGCAATTTTGATGAAATTGAATTGCAGCTTTCTACATCCTGACTGTGGTATTTTGAGATTTTCCGCCCCTAAACTGCAGAATGACGATTTGCAGAGAGCAATTTTACTGCTGCGATAAAAATCAAAATCGAAAAAGGGCCGGCGTGAAAGTGTGGGGATTGTGATGTGAAGTCAGCGCGACGCAGGATATAGGTTAAAGAAGACTTCCGTCACATCTGCAAGTTGTGTGACGGTTACAAGGTGAACACGTGGGGAACATGAAGCCAGTGCGTTTGCAGCCTTAGGCTGATGTTACCACAGCAGTAAAATTGCTCTCTGCCAATCGTCATTCTGCCGGGGCGGAAATTCTAAAAACACCAGTCAGGATACCGCGAAGTGTCGAGGGGAACCACAGCTGTCGGATATGGACAGTGTGTTTCTTTTTGGGTCGTCATATGGTGCATTTGAAGGATCTCATTGACTTCATTGATCCGTTAAAAAACATTTTTGTCTTCCCTTTGACTTGAGGCCATTGAATTACATGTTGTAGGCCTTTAAAGGCTTGCTGCTGTGGCCCATTATCACGACGCGTCCAAACCAAGTTTTTTAAAACCATGTCTTTTGATGCTCTTTTCGACGCCGATCTGGTTATTTGATGTCTTCGTTTCTTTACACTAGTACCTATACCCAGAAAATAACTTTTCGACAGTACATGTTACATGCCTGTAAGGGGGGGGGGGACCTCACTTATTTAAAATGGCGTCTGAGGAGTTCATCACTTTGGCTGCCTAAAACTTTCCAACCACTTAACTTTCGAATTTGACAAAATGAACGGTGGTTCAGAATCATTTTAAGGGTGCATTGTTTTATCGAGGAGCTTGAAGTCACTGTAGTTTAATTGTCAGTTTTTCATTAGTTTCGTTTAGATCTATTCTTGGGAAAGTCCGTCTTCTAAAACGCCAATGTAAACAAGTGTGGTTTCTGTTCATTGGCAGAGCGCCTGATTCCACACTTTTAAAATTCTGTAGTGTACAACGACAAAATGACACATGCTCTCCGGCTGGTGGCAGAGAGACGTCTCTTTCTTCACGCAACACCCAAAAGGGTATACCATGGATGAAAGTAAAAGTAAAGCATTTTGTTTTGAGAGTATCGATCTAGACCTTCTGATTTTTTTAGATCTCCCAAGATTTATTGCTCCTTTCCAGTAGAGTGTAAAAATATAAAAGGCCTATGACTTTCAGTTGATGTTAATGCACCAATCATTCCTATCACCGAAAGGGGGCCCAGCTAGTATACACACATGCAAAAGAGAGAGAGAGAGAGAGAGAGAGAGAGAGAGAGAGAGAGAGAGAGAGAGAGAGAGAGAGGGGGAGAGGGAGAGAGAGATATATATATATATATATATATATAGAGAGAGAGAGAGAGATAAGGGAACTCTTTATGTAGAAGTCTCTAAAGAATTATTGATTATTCAAGGCAGTACCAATAGCCATATTTTCGTTTTCAAAAGAAGTTATTGAAAAGGGCTTTCATAAAGGCAGCTATCGGTCTAGCAGCAATGGCATGTATGAAACGTGCTTTCTTCTTATCTAGAGGCGTATCGAGCGAAGATAGTGGTATTGATTTTGAAGGGGAAAAAAATAAAGAAAAAATGTCAACCTGACGAATAAAACATGTGTTCAGTTTTTCATGGGAACTGGGGGTTGGAAGTTTTGAGACTTAAAAACATAATTAAGTGCGGGATAAGTGTAGAGAAAGAGAGAGACAAGTTTAGAGAAAGAGTAAGAAAAGCGCAGAGAAAGTGCGAGGAGAGTGTAGAGAAAACGCTAAATCTTATCAATTTTGGACCACTAGATCTAAACAATCTTTTACAGGCCCAACTTACACACGAGACGTCCGAGATTTTTCGTTTTTGTCAGAGAAGGCTAGGTGTAGATCTTTCCTACCATAAAATCAGTGGTGTAGTTGAAAGACAGCAGTAAGAAGGAGCAAAGGAGAAGCAGTGGAAAGGCTGCAGAAAGAGTCAGTAGCCCAGAGGAGGGGGCAAAGGAGGTTAGGGAGTGGGGGCAGAAGGTGAAGACGAAAGCAAAAGACAGAATATTGTAAGAGAGCAGGAAAGGAGGTGAAAGGAGATAAGTTACTAGAGAAGAGAATTTTCCGGTCTTCGTAAGCAAATATAATGGGAGTGTAACAAAGTGAAGCCAGAGGGCTCATGGCTCGTAAATACCAGGTGAAACTAGTAGGGGTGAACCGGGGCAATTCCACCCACAACTTTGCTTAAATCACTCTCATGCACTACCTAATTGTGATATCTGACTAGAATTTGCAACAAATTATACTCTGAACATAACATTCAACATAAACATAACATTAGACAATTCTGACTAATCCTATTCAAGAAATAGAGTTTTAACCCAAAAAAATTGTAAACACTTTAATCGGGGAAATTCCACCCACCTACAAAATTCTGATCAAACATGTCCAACATACTTCAATGAATGACAAAACTTTCAAAAACATTTCACTGGTTTCCTGCGGGTTTGTCACTAGTCACTACTATCACTGTCATCATCACCACTGTCTTTCTGGCATCTTTGAGGCAGCACAGTCCTTCTCCGAACTTCTCGCGACTATCGTCATCAATTTCAGACTCTGAGACGGAGTCCACAACTGTTGTTTTCTTTGCCTTGGATCTGGTGGGAACAGAAGGCCTTCCTTTTCCTTTTCCTTTTCCTTTTTTCCTTTTCTTCTTCTCCTCCTCCTCCTCCTCTGTTATTCTTTGAATGAATGTACTCAAAACTGGTCAAACTTTCGCCATACTGGCGTTTAACAGTTTTCCGGTTGGTTTTTTCTCTCTTGGCTTGTAACATAGGGGACATTTTTTAAATAAAAAAGTAAAAAGTCCTTTATGCTGGGCCTGGTTGCTGGTTCCACTGGGGTCACTGGCCTCAACGGTGCAGGTGTTGATGAGGTTGATGGCAACCCATTGTACCAGACTGCACAGCTGCGATTGCATTCTGCATTGCCTCCTTGCTGTATGGCGCTCTCTTCTTTACATAATTCCTCAACATTCTGTAAAAAAAATAGTCAAAATTGTTATAAATTTATGCTCAACATTATCTGGGGGTAAATCCACCCACCAGGTGGGTGGAATTGCCCCAATGTAATAATGAAGTTTAATGGCCAACATTTTACTTGTAGGTTGCTATGAATGAACTAATAGGAGGTAAAATACTTAAGAGAAGATCATAACTTACAATCAATGCGAACAAAGTATGGTTGTGAAAATCCACCCACCAAGTGGGTGGATTTACCCCAACTCTACTATGTAGATCCATGACCATAACAGAAGAATCTTCTTTTATAATGGCTTTATTGATGCATAAAATGAAGACAAATAAACACTTCATTGATTTTAAAAGATACTTTAGACTTTCATCCACCATAAATACACAAGGTCTAGCATAAAAAAGTACGTTAGGTCTACTTACTTTGCTGATGCTTGAGGATGCTCTTTAAGAAGGCTGCTGTTCAACATCCACAGGTTCAAAAGTAGATGAAATAGGAAAAGGAAGTCCAGGGGATGTAACTCAATAATCATGAGTGGCAAAACTCTCCTCAGATGACTTGCGGAGTTTTGTCCCTTAAAATTGTCCAAAGTGGGTGGAATTACCCCGTGGGTGGAATTGCCCCGGTTCACTGGACGCCGCCACTGGCGGGAGGAGCGTAATTACAACCTGTGTTGTTGGACACACCACTGTCCAGGTTGGCATCTCGCTGCTACCCGCGCGAGAAACGTAATTACAAACTGGACGCTACCACCCAGGGCGGCATCCTGTAGGACAGGGAACGTTAGAGTGGGGCGTACAGTCGAACCTGCCTTAACGGAAACCTGTATAAAACGGAAACCTGTCTTAACGGAATCTTCCCGCTCCCCCCTTGATATATTCCTCTATAATTACCTGTATAAAACGGAAAC